CGGCCGTGTTCTTCCTGTGGGCGTATGGCATCCAGTTCGGCAACGACAAGGCGACCAAGTGGCTGACGGCGCTCATCACCTCCATCTTCTCGTCGGCGCTCTTCACGCAGCCCATCAAGGTAGGAGGAGGGGAAGGGGGAGGGGGATGGGGGGGAAGGGGGGAGGGGGAAGGGGGAGGGGGAAGGGTAGAGGAGGGGGGAGGGGGGAGGAGGGAGGATGGGAAGAGGTAGGGAGGGTAAGTTGGTAGGGAGGGAGGGAGGGTGGGTGGGAAGAGGGAGGGAGGGAGGGAGGATGGGAAGAGGGGGAGGGAGGGAGGGTGGGAGGAGGGGGAGGGAGGGAGGGAAGTAGGGTGGATTGAAAGAGGGAGAGGAGGGTGGGAAGAGGGGGAGGGAGGGATGGAGGGAGAATTGAAAGAGGGGGAGAGAGGGAAGGAGGGAGGCTGGGTAGACGAGGAAGATGGGTAGAGGGGGGGGGGACGAGGGAGAGGGTAAGAGGTAGGGAGGGAGGGAGGATAGAAAGATAAGGAGGGAAGAAGGAGGGTAGGTAGGGGAGAGGGAGGGAGAGAGGGAGGGTAGAGGGAGGTAAGAAGGGAATGGGAAGAGGTAGGAAGGGAGGGAGTGAAGGAAGAGGGGGAGGGAAGAGGAGGGGAGGGGGGGTAAGAAGATGAACCTAAGAGGAAGGAAGGAAGGAAGGAAGGAAGAAAGGAAGGAAGATAGGAAGGAAGGAAGGATATGGAGGAAAAGCTTGAGGGAAGAGGGAGGGAGGAAGGGATGGAAATACATATCAGATTTTTTTTTTCCTTTTTTTTTAATTATTGACAATAGTTTTTCAAATTTATTGTATATCCGGTTCATTTGTTTTTGTACTGGCTTTAGGGGATATATATTTTTTTTCCTTTATTTTGATAATGTCACTTACTAGATGTTGATTTATTTCACTTCATTTCTTTTTTCTCTTTTAAAGTAGATTTTCATCGGTCTATTAATTATTTTTGTTTGGATTAGGTGCTGTTTGTTTGTTTGTTTATAAACTGGATTTCTTTGGCTTTATGTGCTAGGGTTTTTATCTATGCTGAGAGAGAGAGAGAGAAAGAGAAAGAGAAAGAGAAAGAGAAAGAGAAAGAGAGAGAGAGAGGGGGGGGGAGAAAGAGAAAGAAAAAGAGAAAGAGAGACCGAGATTACGAGAGACCGAGAGAGAGAGAGAGACCGAGAGACCGAGATTACGAGAGACCGAGAGAGAGAGAGAGACCGAGAGACCGAGATTACGAGAGAGCGAGAGGGAGAGCCTTTCCTCACCCCTTCCTCCTCCAGATCTACCTGATGGCGATGCTCCTCTCGTGGATCCTGAAGCGGCCGATCGACGAGCACGAGGACTATGACGATGACGAGGAGGAGGTCGACCTCGGGAGCGACGAGAAGTACCTCCACCGCCCGCCCTCCGCTGGGAGTGAGTGCCGCCTCCTCGCACTCACGCACACGGACATACATGCGCGCGGAGATACATGTATACACGGGCATGCACATAGACGCACGTACACGGACATGGACACGTGTGGAGGAGATGCATGTATACACGGACACGTACTGAAATGCACAGGGATATGCTCATACACACAGTATATATACGGACAGAAACGCACACGAATACTCTCGCACACACATGCATATACACGGACACACAAGCATAGAGACGCACACAGACACGTACAGAGATGTACACTGATACCCACGCACACACATGCACATACACGAACACGTACAGACATAAATATATTTTACTTAATATTTTCTGTCTTTGTTTCCTTTTTGTTTTATAAGATTTGTTTTATTTGTTTCTTCCTGTCTCCTTTCTTTTGCATTGTTTCCCTATTTGATTTTCTTGAAATTTGATAATTTTGTACACGATTCATCAGTCCATTTGTTTGTATTAATGATAATGATAATATTTTTT